AAACGCTTGAAGTTAGGGAAAAATAGAGTACATGTCCCTATATTGTTTTTTCATATTCTATCCACATTTGCAAACTTTTGGATTAACTGAATCTAAAAAAATCCTACTTCCGGTTAAGCCGCATATTTGTATAAAGCATAAAAAATTAAGATAGGGACATGTAAGCCCTTTTACTCTAATTTTAACCGTTTTAGAGCTATAGCTTGTCAAAGTGTGAAAAAGTCAATTTTCGAATGTCCAAAGCTTGAAATCAATTGAATTTAGACATATGGTGTTTTTGACACAAATACTTAAATTTTTTAGCAGAATTAAAATACAAAATAAAATATAGGGTGTTTCATTTGAAATAAATAATTTTAATGTTACTTTGCTTGTTGGGGGCACCCTGTATATTATAAAATATTTTCACAATAGGTGCCTCTGCAAACCATAAAACTGTTGTATCTGACTTTTAATCGTTTCAAAAACAAGAGATATTGGACTTCTACACACTAATGGGACATCCTGTATATATGAGATAATACCCTCTCCATTTTCACTTAGGGGATGTTGGGGTTAAGATTTGAAAATTAGGAATATTGTAAATGAGCTAAAAACTGTATATCCCATAAATATGAAAATCGCATAAAAAATTCGCCTGCCCCCCTACCCCCTATCTGATGTGGAGGGATTGTCACCCTCAAAAAATAAAGTAACAATATTGTTAATAGAACAGTTTCAATCTGCGATTTTTTCTACATACTACAACCCAAAATATCATTTTTTTTTTAAATTGGACCTGAACGATCATATTTCAGATGTGGGGGTTGGTATTTAAAAATAGTTACAGGGGATAAAAATCTTATTTTTGTCATATTTACAAAAGAACTGATTTACAAAGTTTTTGTATAAAAATATTACCAATACCATCCCCTAGAGGGATATGGAGGTGGTGGCATCCCTAAAAAATCAAGTTAGAACTTTTTAAGAGTATAACAGTTAAAATCTATACGTACATACTCAAAAGTTTTATTTTTTTGACAATATTTTTGTTTCCTTTTTACTTGATTTTTTTGTGGATGCAACCCCTCTAGGGGATGATAATGATATAATTTTTATACAAAAACGTTGCAAATTAGGTCTATTGTAAATATGCAAAAAATAAGATTTTTAGCTACTTTGTAACTATTATTAAATGCCATCCGCAACATCCAAACATAAAGAAAAAATCGTAGTTTTCAACTGTTATATTTAAAAATTTCTAATTTGGTTTTTTGGGGACGTCACCCCCTCCATCTCCCTCTAGGGGATGTTAGTGGTAAGATTTTTACACAAAAACGTTGCAAATCAGGTTTATTGTAAATATACCAAATATAAGATTTTTTAGCTCCTCTGTAACTGTTCTTAAATGCCAGCCCCTACGTCCGAACTATGATTGTTCAAATTTTGGCAAAAATGTTATCAAAAAAAATTGAAATTTCTGGTTTGTATGTAAAAAAAAAATCGTAGATTGAAACGGTTTTATTAACAAAATTTTAACTTTATGTTTTGAGGGTGACACCCCTTCCATATGAGATAGGGGGTAGGGAGGGCGAATTTTTTTTATTCTGTTTTCATATTTATAGGACAATACATCCATATACCAAGGTTGGTCTTAATATCTCGACCGTAACTGCCCTAGCCCCAAGAGCCGAACCCCAACCCCTCCATATCAGCTAGTGAGTGGGTAGGTAAAATGTTTTTAATGTGATTTTCATATGTATGGGATAATATATCAATCTACCAAATTTGGTTTCAATATCTCAACCCGAACTGCCATAGCCTCAAGAGCCGAGCCACAAAACATTTTGTTTAACAGTACTTGTGTTAAATGTACAGTGGTATTGTTAATTTGATATTATTTATATTGGCACATTATTATTTGATAGATCTCTACGCCTTCGTGACAAAGTAAATTTAGGCTTCAACCCCTTGAATTGTACATATTAATATGCTATTTAGATGAACACCACTATAATTACGAATTATAATTAACATCTATTATAATTTTTTCCTACTACTGTAAGTTCATTAAAATAGGTACTTACCAACACATTTTTGGCTAAGTTTCTCCACTTCCAGAATACCAATTTTTTTAAAAATTGTTTTTAAATATTGTTTATTTGTAAAGGTACCTTTTTTAATTGTTTTTATAACCATTAGAGCAATGAACAATAACCTATCACAACGTATACACATCGCACAACAAAACACTAAACCGAGTTATCGAACTAAAACATAAAGATGCGTTTTATACGTTCGTTACCTCATAATATTAGATACCTTATGTTAAAAGGGCATAAGCGAAAGAATATTTTAACGTAGAAAACAAATCGTTCCCATCTTTAAATCAAGTCCGGGAACTCTGACGAAATTTTGTTTTTCTGAGTTTAACAGAACTTCTGTTAAGTTTACAGTGGCGTTGTTAATTTTATATTATTTAGATTCCTGTAACACTTCCGATTTTATATCTTTACAGTTCAACTAATGCTACTATCTTATTTCTATTATTTTAACAGAATATTATTGTATATTTTTTAGTACGGGTTAATTATTATTGTTACATTAGATCTGTAAAATAAACAATAGTTTATGTAATATTAACAAAGTATAATTTAGTTGAACATAAAATAATAAAAATATAATAATACTCTTTTTGTTACAGTAATAACATTTTGGTCAATAGCTGACAGAAATTTGCTATTATGTCAATGAAAGATTACTATACGTTTGATAAAATTCTATCCCCTGGACAAAATATTTATCATTAGTTTGATAATGTAGACTTTATTATATAAATCTAACACGTTAGTAACAATGAAAACGAACTATTATATCAACAGTTTTTTTTTGTAATGATTATAAATGTATGTTAAATTAATAAAAAGCATTCTTTAAAACCTTAACAATAGTTATTTTGTTAATAGAGCATATATAATTTTTTGAGTGTAGCTAAAATTCAAAAACTATTAAAAAAGTGCTTTTTAATAATTATTTAAATGTCTAACTAATTGTGCTATCAAAAAATGAAAAAGTGAGTACCTACATATTTTTTATTAGATATTATTAACCCGCTCATTCGCATGAGCGCCCTTGGTAAATTTGTATACATCTTTTTATTACATAATCAAAATTTCATTCAAATCGTTAAAGCAATCACAATATTTTGAAAAAAAAAATAAGAACAAGATTAAAAATTATAACACCTTGTATCTTTGAACCAAAGCATCTGCGGACTATTTGTCTTATTTTTAAGCAAATAAAGACCCCATGAGCTATTGCAAATGTTTTTTGAAACACCCTGTGTATACGCGTTGTACCAATAAAAACTCCCAGGCCAGATATTTTGGTAAGACAGAAATATTTTAACTCTGTAAAATCCAGTTCATAGAGCACTAAGAGAGCTTTAGTTTTAAATATAAATTGATTTTAAATAGTTCAATATGTAGATGGCGCTGCACTCAATGTTTTTTTGGTGGGAGGATCTTTCTTGTATAGCGTATCTTGTAAAAAAATGCATTTTTAAGCAGATTTTGGTTTATGAACTAATTCGATAAATCTAGCCATTTCTGATATACAGAGTGGGTCACTCAAAACAGTTTCATCCTGCTTTTCAGCATTAATCATTATTATAAAGTGTGATACTACCATGTGTAGTACATCATTAAAAAGGTAATTTTATGGTGAATTTAGAAATATGACTGTTTATTGCGATACTTTTAATTGTACCGCCCTCTATCGGGATAAAAAACTGTACGTAATGTAAAGTGTGACACCTTATTTGAAAGTAAATTTAATTACTAATTCAATGCACCACATAACAATAATATAATTATCCTCCATATTGAAAATTAGTCATGCATTATTTTAAACATTATTGCTAACTTTATTTTGTTGCAAGTACAATATGGAAATATTTATATTAAAGTTATGTCGTGCATTGAATTAGTAATTAAATTAGCTTTCAAATGAAGTGTCATATTTCATAATACGTTACAGATTTTATATCCTGGTAGAGGGCGCTAAAATTAAAAGTATCGCAATAAACAGTGATATTTCTGACTTCCCCATAAAATTACCTTTTCAATGATGTGCCGTACATGGTACATTCCTCATTTAAAATTAAGGGGTTGGAGAAGTGGAAGGTAGGGGGGTTAACACATGACAGATGCCTGTATTGTAAAAATGTGTTCAATTTGGAATAAAAATCAACCTATTTTAGAATTTTCTTAAAATCTATTGATTAATGCCGAAGAACAGGATGAAACTATTTTAAGTGACCCACTCTGTATATCAAAAATGGCTAGATTTATCAAATTAATTTATGGAACAAAATCTGCTTAAAAATTCAGTTTTGCAAGATGCGCTATCTAAGAAAGATCCTCCCATCGAAAAAAATATTGAGCGCAGCGCCATCTACGTATTGACCTATTTAAAATCAATTTATAGTTAAAATTGAAGCTCTCTTAGCGCTCCATATACTGGCTTTTACAGAATTAAAATATCTCTATTACTTTCCAAAATATGCGGCCTTGGAGTTTTTATTGGTGCACCCTGTATATCATAATAATATAATAAACAAGTTGTCTAAATATTACGACAATTGTAATTGTAATAGGACCCTAATTTATTGGCCACTTTGATGGCTAAATTTCATATAAACATAAGAATGCTCTAAATTGTTTTTTTAAAATACAGGGTTTCAATTTTTTTAAAAGGTCGCCCCTCGGGATGCCCCTGAATTCAAACACTTTGTATCTTAAAAAAAACAATTTAGAGCCCATGTCTATTTGAAATTTTAGTCATAACATAGGCCAAGGATTTACCTCCTTATTTCATGAGTTGCAGGACTAACTAATTATGTATTTATAAGGACTAACTTTCTTCAATCTTAATTTATTGTATATTGAATTTTGGGAAAACATTTTTAAAACCCTGATGATGAGTAAATAAACTGTAATTACATAACAATTCTGACTTACCTCAAGAGCGACAATCATATTTTCGAACCCTTCTTGTGGGAGGATTTCTATAGTGCCCTCGGTCTTTTCCAGCGATTTCTGAAGTTTGTGTACATCCTCAGAGAGTTCCTATATGATAAAATTACGATTGATAAAATTTTGTTCTAAGTACCTAGGTAAATATGAGATTTAAATAAAGATATCCTTATTCAATATGTTATTGCAAAAATAAATATGATTTTATTCGTTTTTATTATTAACCTAACTTAAAAGATACTATTCTAATTAATAAGGAATCTGAATTTTCAAGTTTATCAAATTTTAGAATAAAAAAAACTCTTCATGCATGTTATTGTTTCATAACAAAAAATATATCATTTTTCAAGTTCGGTAGTTTTTCATTTTATAATAGAGAATGTCTAGAAAACACTGGAATTTATAATAAAAATATAGATGTTTTAATTAAATCGTTGACTTTAGGTTAAATTCAGGTAGAAACAAGTTCAATGAACTTAAAGATCCGTTTTTTAGAAAAAAAAAACGTAAAACAGTCCAAAAATCAGTTCACAAAGTTCGACAAAGTTTCTGTTTGGAGTATATCGTGCTTACCATCGCCACTGATTTAAAACTGTTAGTTAGAAATAAGCCAACTTAACTTCAAATAAAAGAATAGGAAGATTCAAGAATATATTATTTTGAAGATAGCTCTTTACTATTATGGCGATATTGTAGGGTAACATTCCAATCCTACCTCATTGCAAATAATCGTCGAGACCACCACCAATCAACCTAAAACCATAGGCCGAATAGCCCTGCCAGCTGAGGCCTACAAAAATTGAAAAGAAGAAGATTAAATATGTAAAGAATTCATTTTAAATTCAGTTTGGTAACAGATTTGTATCATTCAGTGGCATCCATAAAAAGGTCGTACACTTTTTAAAATTAAAATGCCAAACACATTAATATCTTTCCTCAGTACATTTTGGCGGCTTGGTGGTTAAAAGTACGCTAACCCTCGTAAAAGTAGCGACAGTTGGCCAGAAATTAGCTGATAACTGATAACACATACTTTGATATGTGGCTGATAAGCACGAAATCGAATGATTTTAGTTCCAGTTTACCTCTATAGGTATAGTACAAACAAGAGATATAGTGTGGCTTTAAATCCAGCCGGCAACATACAAAAAAACTAAGAATACTGATACATTAAATATAGTAGAGGAGCATTCAAGAGAATGAGTATACTTATTTTATTTTTATTTCCCTCGATAGGAGGAAAGTGTTGTAATCATGAAAATTTAGATTTTCACGTTTTCTGGTTCTTAGATTACGAAAAACATGTTATTCCCATTCCGTCGGTCTGTCTGCCATCCGCCGTCTGATGTCTGCTGTCTGCCTGTTGGCGCGGTAGCTCAAAAACGGCTTAAGAGAAAAAATTCAAATTTTGTATGCAGGTAAGGCTTCCTCTTTGCTTAAAACTGGTTATACTTTCGGTTAGATATATACAGGGTAAGCAATTAAAATAAAACATTTATTTTTAAAAGTCAGATTATGACTAAAATTGATTTCTGATAAAATTGTTATCTGATCAAAGATAAAACATAAATTACTTTTTAAAAATTCAAAATGGCTTCCTTGTTTTTACAATTTATACAGGGTATTTTTTAATGATATTCTAATATTTTAGGGTGTGATTCCTCAGGTCATTATATAAAGAAAAGTTCATATGAACATATATACGCAACGGCTTCAATTTTTTGCTAGAGGGAGTTGAAAATTTATTTTTAAAGAGATATTTTTTAATGTCTCTGAAAATAGTTTAGATATAATTTTCAGTTTTGACATGTGTTAATAGGATATAAAACCACATATTTTAATTAGTAAATTTATTTTATTGCTCTACCAGTGGCGTCTTTGCAAACATGGCATCTGACTTTTTTCTACAAAAAAAGTAGTACGCCACAGACATTTTTCCATGTTGATAATTTTACACATTTCTCTGGTCAATTCTACATATTGATGTATTTTTCTCGCCAGCCACTCGGTTCTAGATTAAAATAATTAAATTTAATCGTCAATACTAAAAAATGAAGAAATTTTAATTTAATTGATGAACGATAAGATAAACGCCACTAATGAGTAAAAATATCAACATGGAAAAATGTCAGTGGCATACTACTTTTTTGTAGAAAATATCATATGACATGTTTGCAGAGACGCCACTGGTAAAGCAATAAAATAAATTTACTAATTAAAAAATGTGGTTTTATATCCTATTAACACATGCCAAAATTGAAAATTATATCTAATGTATATTTCAGATATATTAAAAAATATCTCTTTAAGAAACAAATTTTCAACTCACTGTAGCAAAAAATTAAAGCCGTTGCGGACATATGAACTTTTCTTCATAAAATGACCTGAGGAATTACACCCTACAATATTAGCATACCATTAAAAACACCCTGTATAAATTATAAAAACAAGGAAGCCATTTTAAATTTTTAAAAAGTAATTCATGATGTTATTTTTGATCAGATAACAATTTTATCAGAAACTAATTTTAGTCGAAATCTGCTGACTTTTAAAAATAAATGTTTTTTTTAATTGCTCATGCTGTATATAGCTGACCGGAAGCATAACCGGTTTTGAGCAAAGAGGAAGCCTTACTTGCATATAAAATTTGAAGTTTTTCTCTTAAGACGTTTTTGAGCTACCGCGCCAACAGACAGACGGCAGACAACAGACGGCGGACAGACCGACGGAATAGGGACCCGAAAACGTGAAAATCTAAATTTTCACGATTACAATACTTACCTTTTATCGAGAAAAGTAAAAATAAAATAAGTATACTCAATCTCTTGAATGCTCCTCTACTTATTTAAAGGTGACTCTTTTATAAAATAGGGTGTCATTGTAGGAGCCATGAAAACCACATCAAAGCCATGGAAATCATTCTTAGTCTCACCTCTCACATCACGAATCCGCAGCATGGTTGGGATAGAAACTGAAAAAGGATCTGGTGAGCGAGACGTCGCTTTTGGCTTCAAGCGAACATAGAGTCCATCTCACCGAGATATATCTTTTATAAACATTATATAATGGAACAAATAGAATAGCCGAAAGTGACAGATACGATTCATATCTACACCAAGTGAAACCACAAAACAAGGCTCAGGATGTGGAATATACTTCAGATCATTAAACCTAAACATAAAATAGGCTGTGAACAATAGTCCAGTGTAGTTTAAAACGAGCTCACAGGGATTCTCGTAGCATCAAAAGAAGTTACCACAAACAATATCACTGAAAGGAACATGCTCATCTAAACATATAGCCAACAAGCACCCTTGGCAAACCACCAATTTACTCAGGGTTTGTACTAAAATATCACGAAGCTTTGGCCTAAGTATCTATGTGGTCAGCTTAAGATAGATCAAAAGGTAACCATTTTGCTGATTCACTAGCAAAGAAGGCAGTCAACCAATTACTTTTTGGACCTTCCCCTGACAACATTGGTAGTGACAAACCTAATTAAAGATCATTCTCTTGTGAAGTTCAAGGAAAAATGGGATGGAAGAAGAAGCTATAAAGTTGCCATGAAGCTTTAAGTTATCCCAACAACACTATACAGCGCACAAATACTTGACTATGACTAGTCAGAATTTGTGCTCGATCACAGGCATTCTGATGGTCAATGCCAAGTACAAAAGCATGTCACAATCTGCATCTAGCATATCGTCTACGATTGCCCGATGCTCTCATTTGTGTTCGGCGAGTATTGGCTAACACCAGCCGATATAAGAGAACCAAGAACTAGATGACCTGGAATTGTATGATTAAAAAGGAGGCGAAGAAGGTTAATTCAATTCAAACAATCGAAAAAAAATTATTCCAGGACCCAAATTCAAACCAGTTTGCCACAACAACTTACTGTTTATTTTATTTAACATTTATAAATAAATTGGTTTGGGATTTTATATAATTTAATAAAATAAAATATATATAAATATATATATCTTGTAGTTTACTATTTATTAATTCTTCTTTTACCTTGACTATAAAATATATTGACAATTGTTTTCAGATGTTATTAAAATTAAGAAAAAAAGGTACTGTGATTGGTGGATTTTATATCCTTACTAGAGTTGATATAAAGTTCTATCGGTTCAGTCGACTAAATTAATAATATAAATATGCAGGTGTAAAAAAGTGAATTTTATGTTGAACAGTGCTTTCTAAACATTTTCCTTTATTTCTATTTTCATTTTTCATTACTGAACTGGTCTTAAATAAACAATTTAACCATAACCCAAAATGAGAAAAACGAATATTACCAACATAAATGCCAAGCGTACTCACCTCTTCATTGTAAATAAAGCCCAGAGTTAAAAGCAATTTATATACATATGTTTTAATTACACTATAAAATATTCAAAATCAATTTTAGTATGCAAAGTAAGTTTAGTAACATAATAAAAGCTACGTTAATGGTATACAGACACAATGCTTGAAACCCAACACTGATTACACAATAATATTTCACCTTTTTAAGATGTTTGTTGACAAGTTGTCCATCGGTCTCTGTTGAAATCGTTGGCTGCATTTCAGGCCCTAAAGGAGGATCGTTAGGAAGGATTTCAGGAGATTTAGTAGCGTCATTAACAACTGTATTTGCGTCAATTAAAGGTTCGGAAGAAAGATATGTTGATTCTTCCTTCCAACCTGCTATCCCCCCTGGTAAACTGTACATCATATATTCCGAATTTGGCATTGCATTGGAAGTTTCGTTCCTTTGATTAGGTGAATCTCTTCCACTACCACCACTAGAGCCACCGTCATCATCTGGCGGATTATAAGATGAAATATCAATATTAGTAGAAGCTTTGTGTTCTTTTCTTTTCTTTTCCTGCTCTATTTGCCATCTTTCTTCGGCTTCATCGTAGTAGCTTTTGGTTAACCAGTAGGTATCATCAAGTACTAGATTACTTATTAATTGTTCAAGAGGATCTACGAATTCCTTAGATGATTGTCTGGATATCCTTCCAAGAAGAGTTTTTATAAAACCAGGTTTACTGGCATCTTCAGCTGATTCATCCTTAGATTTCTTTCGTTTGGTCTTTTCTTTGTTGTTAGGTTCATGTTGTCTTAATATTTCTTCATAATTTTTAGCGTTTTCTAAGAAGGCAGAAGCGATATCTTTATGTGAAATAATACTTTCAGATTCCTGTTTAAATAATTTAGATTCTTGTTCGGGCGTAAATTCGATCACTTTCTCTTCCTTTTCCTGAATATTTAGATCAATAATCTTCATTGTTTCTTCATTATCCATAGGTGTGTCTTTGAATTCTTTTGGGACATTCTCTTCTTCACTCGTCACTATGTTATCTTCAGTGTGTTTATCACCTTTTTTCTTCTTATCTTTCTTTGATTTCTTTGATGTCAACTTTGACATAAGATTACCGAAGAAACTAGAACTTTTAGGTGTTACCTCCTCCAATTCTCTATCACTCTGAGGTTCAGGAGAAGATTGTTCTTCCGTTTGATCCGGTTTATGGGATTTTTTGCTTTTCTTTTTGTTATGTTTATCTTTTTCCGGTTTAGAAACTACCACTTTTTCGATTGCAGCCTCTTTTTTACCCGCTACTTCTTTGGCCAGTTCTAAATCCACTATCTGAATGTCTTTTTCTCTATCACTCTGAGGTTTAGGAGATTTTTCTTCAATTTCTTCTTCCATTTGATTCGGTTTATGGGATTTATTACTTTTCTTTTTGTTATGTTTATCTTTTTCTGGTTCAGAAACTACCACTTTTTCGATTGCATCCTCTTTTTTAACCGTCACTTCTTTATCCAATTCTAAATCTACTATCTGAATATCTTTTTCTCTATGACTCTGAGGTTCAGGAGATTTTTCTTCCGTTTGATCCGGTTTATGGGATTTTTTACTTTTCTTTTTGTTATATTTATCTTTTTCTGGTTCAGAAACTACCACTTTTTCGATTGCATCCTCTTTTTTAACCGTCACTTCTTTATCCATTTCTAAATCTACTATCTGAATATCTTTTTCTCTATCACTCTGAGGTTCAGGATAATTTTTTTCAATTTTTTCTTCAGTTTGATCCGGTTTATGAGATTTTTTACTCTTATTTTTGTTATGTTTATCTTTTTCTGGTTCAGAAACTACCACTTTTTCGATTCCATCCTCATTTTTAACCGCCACTTCTTTAACTAATTCTAAATCCATTATCTGAATGTCTTTTTCTCTATCACTCTGAGGTTCAGGAGAAGATGTTTCTTCAATTTTTTCTTCCGTTTGATCCGGTTTATGAGATTTTTTACTCTTATTTTTGTTGTATTTTTCTTTTTCTGGTTCAGAAACTACCATATTTTCGATTGTATCTTCTTTTTTAACGGCCACTTCTCTAACCAATTCTAAATCAACTATCTGAATGTCTATTTCTCTATCACTCTGAAGTTCAGGAGAAGATATTTCATCAATTTTTTCTTCCGTTTGATCCGGTTTATGTGATTTTTTACCTTTCTTCTTATGTTTATCTTTTTCTGGTTCAGACACTACCACTTTTTCTAGTGCATCCTCTTTTTTAACCGCTACTTCTTTAACCAATTCTAAATCAATTATCTGAATGTATATTTCTCTATCACTCTGAAGTTCAGGAGAAGATTTTTCTTCAATTTTTTCTTCAGTTTGATCCGGTTTATGAGATTTTTTACTTTTCTTTTTATTATTTTTATCTTCTTCTGATTTAGAAACTACCACTTTTTCGATTGCATCCTCTTTTTTAATCGCCACTTCTTTAACAAACCCTAAATCCACTTTCAGAATTTCTTCGTTTCCTAAACTTTCTTTCTTAATAGGAACTTCTTTTATTTCTTTTGTTTCTAAGATTGCTTCAGAAATGTCACTTTTTTGTGGTTTAGCATCAATTGTAGAAATTACTGATGTATAAGTGACATATTCAGGCATCACCTCTTCTAAGGTATTTTTTACTACTGCAGCGTAAGATCTACTAGGAGAACGCGACTGTGCTCTGATTTGTTCGTTATTTTTAAGAACACTAATAACAGGTAATTCTTGAGGAACGTAAATATCAGTAGGCTCAGTTTCGGATTTAGATTGTGTTTGGTGTTTCCTTCGAGACCTAGATCGAGTCTTTCTTTTTTTAGATGGTTCTTCATCATTACTTTCTTGGGTTTCAGAAGAATCTTTTACATCTGTTACAATTTCAATACCTGTAGTTTTAAAATCTATAATGGCTTCTTGTACTTTTGCGACTACATCCGCCAAAGTAGCATTTCTTTCTTCTTGAATGAATAGATCTACATGATGGTGTAAGTCAGTTTTTAAATCAGTATTATCTTCTTTTGTCGAACTATCATTTTCAATTGAAATATCTTCTTTTACACTTGGTTCAGCTGTCTCCACGTCTTCGGATGAAGTTGGAGATTCAAATTCTATTTCTAAATAGACTTCTAAGTCTTCATTACTTTCTGACTCCTCTTTCTTTAATGAAGATGTGATGGTTTCTACAGTATACCGATTACTTGGATGAGGTGAAGGATCTCTACTTCCTGCTTTAGCTACTTCAGCATACGATAGGTGATACAAATTTGTCTGAGTAATATCGGTTTGACATACATTTTCTTCCTTGGGAATTGTAATGTCAATTACTTTATCATCAGATTCAGTCTTATTTTCCACCGTAGGTGTTTTCGAACGCTTTCTAGATCTATTGCGTCTTTTCTTTTTCGTTTGTTCCTCGACTGGCTCTGACCTAAGCGAAGCAGGTTCTTCCGTTAAAATCGTTTCGGTTTTATTTATTTCAGTTATTTTAATTTGAGGAGAAACATTTTTAGAAATTAAATCTTCTTCTGGTGTTTTTGTGTTAGATTCTTCGATGAGAACATGAGTTGTCGCTTCTTCATTTGCTTCAACTTCAGTTATTTCAATTTGAGGAACCACATTATTAGAAATGACATTTTCAGGTTGTGAAGTGTTCGATTTATCAATGAGAACAGAAGTCGTCTCGTCTTTATGTGTCAAGGTAATAATTATCTCTTCAGACTCTTTTTTAGATTCGACCAATGGAGTTTTAGAACGTTTTCTGGATTTCCTTTTCTTCTTTGAATCATTTTCTTCTGTAGATTCTGGCTGGGATAATTCGGACTCTTTAATTTTGCTTTCCGCAGGAATTTCAGACACATTAATAAGTTCAGAAGTTATAGGTTTTTGTTGAATTTCTGATGCTTTTGGAATGTTTGAAGCCAATATTTTTGCATAAGTTGATCCATTGATATCAGTAAATGGTTTATGTTCTTCAAGCGACGTCTCCATAACAATTGCAGTCTTAGGATGTTCTTCGGGTTCTTTAAATTCTGGCTTAGATTCTATTATAGGGGTTTTTGATCGTTTTCTGGATCTACCTCGCCTTTTCTCACCCTTTTCTTCTATCGGTTCTGCAAGGAGTGGTTCTGGTTCTTCTTGTTTAACTGTCTTAGTTTTAATTTCTTTAACTTCAGTAATTATATCTGTTAGATCTTCCTGAATTGTAGGTTCCTTCACTAGTTCTACTTTTCTAGGTTCAGTATCCTCTTTTAGTACATTTTCAGTTAACTCCGTTTTAGTTACCTCAGGTGTAAGTGATTCTTCGGGTTCTTTAAGTTTCACTTGAGTTTCAACTGCAGGAGATTTTGAACGTTTCTTAGATCTAGTACGTTTCTTTTTACCTTTTACATCTTCAGGCATTGGTTCCAACAATGTTGTTTCTTCTTTCTGAATTGTTTCAGTTCTGATAACTTCAACGTGCACTTTAGTAGGAACAATTTCTTTAGGCTCCACCTGCTTCTGTTGAATTTGAGATGTATCATGTTGCTTTACAATGTTGGAAGCAGCTGCTTTAGCATATGTAAAACCGCTGTCTATTGGACTAATTAATTTAGGTTCTTCAGCCAAATTTGGTTGTTCAGCATCGATTTCTTTAGGTTTCTTCTCTTCTGGTTCAACCTCAATTTCGGTTGCAGGTTGAATGGTTGGAGTCTTTGAACGCTTTCTGGATCTATTGCGTTTCTTTTTACCTTCCTCAAAGGGAATCGGTTTTTCAATATCTTCTGTTGGTTCAGCAACTGTTATCACAATTTTTACACTTTCTTCAGGCTCTTTTTCACTAAATTCTTCTTTTTGTGTAACTTTTTTAATTTCTTTTGTTATTACTGAAGATTGTAATTGTGGTTGAGAAACTACTATTTTAGCATACGTTGGCAGATCAGAAATATTACTGTCTTTAGTAGGTTCAATTATTAACTCTGTAGGTTCCTCTTGTTGGATTGGTAATGAGGATTGTTGTTCCTTTTTAGAAATTTCAGTCTCAACTGTAATTTGAGCATCTGATGATTTTGTTTTCTTTTTAGACTTTTTGGATTTCTTCTTACTTTCTGTATCTTTGAATTCTGATTCACTTGCATCACTAATATTAAGTTTTTCGGCATCTTTAGTAATAATTGGAGTGTCGTCTAAAAGTTTAACTTCTTGTTTGAAACTTGTTTTTGGACTAGATGTAGCTAAAACTTTAGCATAAGAAGTAGTATGAGAGTTAGTTGTTAGGTCATCATCAATAATATCCTCATATACTTTCAACTGAGTTTCAGTAACTTCTTCAACTCGAATTTCATGAGGTATAGTCGGAGGTGTTTTTGAACGTTTTCTTGATGTTCTTTTAGGTTCAAAAACTTTTTCTTTTGGAATTTCAGGGGGCGGAGCAACTCGTTTAGCTTCATTTTCACTAGAATGAGTTCGCGATTTCTTACTATGGTCTATAAAATCTTTGCTCTTTGCGAGTACATTAGTTTTTTGAATTCCTTCAGTTTCTGTAACGATGGTTTCAAATTCTTTTGTACGTATAGGTTCTCTAACAACTTGATGCTCGTGTTTAGGTACAACTGCATGAGTGGCCACAATATCAGCATAAGTCTTATCACTGGCTTTTAGATTAGCCCAAACATTGGTGGTATCTTTGTTATCCACAATTTTTTCCGGTTCTCTAACAGGTGCTTTTGAGGTATCTACCAATTCTCTTATTAATTGGCGTTCTGCTTCGACAAACTTTTGAGTTTTATTTTTGAGATCAGAAATTAATGATTCTTTTGAAGGTTCGGTTTTTGGTGGAACATCTCGGACGCTGCTAATAGTTAATTCTGAAATAACATTCTTCGGCAAAAGACTCTCTTCTAGCCTTTGCTGTTCTAATTTATCTTGATGGAATTTTCTTTCCTGTTCTTCTGAATCATCTAAAATATCATTCACCCATTTTGAAGTTCCGGGTGAAATTTGGTAAGTTGATTTGTATTCTGTATCGCTAATGCCGTAGTCTGTTTTATTATCATAGTCCCAACCAGTTTCTTCATATTTTTCTTCTTCTACTCTATATATCTGATTGTGTTCCATATACTCAGGTACAAGAGGGCTAGATGAACTAGGTACGAATTCAGCTGCGTCTGGATTTAGGCTGTATTTCTTGCGATCAGACTTTGGAATGAATTCAACGACAGATTCAACAATAGCTTCAAACTGAGAAGGTTTGGATTCGTCAAAAGTTTTTTCAATTAATTCTTCTTTGCTTTGTATTTCTTCGGTAGTTTCAAACGGTGTTTTTTGAATTATGTTTTCTTCTTTAGTGTTTACTTCTACAATAGCTTCAAAATGAGTATGTAATTCATTATTTTGGATTGGTTCGTCCACATTGGTTTCTGTTTCTACAATAGCTTCATATTGTAAAGATTGATCACCTTTTTCATCAGTTTTTGGAATTGTTTTATCCTGTTCAGTTTCAATTTCTACAATAGCTTCATATTGTTGAGGTTGTGTACTCTTTTCAATAGTTGTTTGGACTGTTTCATTCCATTGGGTTTCTGTTTCCCCAATAGCTTTAAATTGCGAAGATTTTTTAATTTCTTCAACAGCTTTTAATTCATCTTGTTTGTTTATTATTACATTCTTTTGTTCAAGATATCTGGCTTCTTTTTCCGCCAGAATAGCTGTATCAATTTCACTTTGCTCTATTATTTCAAATTCATCCTCACTCATTTCTATTTGTACTTCTTCCTTTCTCAGGAGTTCATGTTGTTTGGTTTTAGATGATTCTTCGGTTAGTTTTTCTTCAGTTTCGCTTACTCTTTTCTGTTCTGGTTTATGAATTAGCATGGATTTTCCTACAACAAGTAAGTCTGTTGGTTTTTGTTCTAGTTCAACTGATTCTTCTACAGATTTGATTTCATCATATTTTACAGATTCTTTTGCCATTTTAAGTTCTTTAGCTTTTTGTTCATACCATTCTATTTCTGCTTGTAACAGATATTCCAAATCAAAATTAGGTTTGGTTTCCAACAAATCGTTAATATTAAAAACGGGTTCTTCGATTTCTTTTTCTACATCTTTAGTTTCTTTAATTTCTTCTTTAGGAGTTTCAATCTTCTTTTTCTTGTTTTCTTGTGCTTGTATCTCATAGTAATTTATTTCGTCGCGAAACATTTTTAGAATATCATATGTGAATAGAGATTCTTCAATAATAACTTCAGATTTTGTGTCGGTTTTTTTAGACACAGTCTCATAATATTCCTCCTCAGCTTTATTCTGTACGAGAACATCATATTTAATAATATTTTCTTCTGGTATTGTGGGCGACTTTATGCTTTCAGTTGGTTCAAGTGTTTTAGGTTCTGAAACTATAATTGCCTTAGATTCTGATTCATCCAATGCGTTCATGAATTCACTGTTATTTTTAATAGTAGATTTATTGATTTCGGTAATAACTGATACTGTTTTTGTTTCTAAATTTACAGTTCTTTCAGAATTCAAGAAGTCAGAATTAACATTTGAAATTTCTACAACTGGTTTTTCTTCTTCAATTGTATCAGTTTTAACATATTTTTCTTTAGTGTCATCAATCGAATAATCTTCATCATCAGAAAATACTATAGGATCATCTAGTAAATCAATAATGTTAGTGGACTCATCAATTGGCAGTCCCTTATACTCTACTTTTTGTTTAACTAATTCTTCTTTTAATATTACATTATCGACTTGCTGTGGAATAGTTATAGTTTGTGGAGTTTCAAGTTTCTCAATTACTTTTACGAATTCACTATCATCATCAGACAACTCCATTGGTTGATCTAAAATATCCATGAACAAGTTTGTAGATTCATCAACTGGTAAACCTTTATATTCAACTTTTTCTGTAGTTGCTTTAACTTCTTCTGCGATATGCTGAATAATGTCAACAGTTTCGGATTTGTTTTGATCCAGTTCATGCTTGTCTTCATGTTTCTTTTCTTGCTCTTTCATTGGACCGACAATATGAGTTTCAGTATATGTTGGGGTTTCAATAGGTTCAGTAATATTTTCTTTTATTTCTGGAATCTTTTCAATTGACGATTCAGATTTTTCAGCATTTATTAGGTTTTGATTAATATTAGAAGTTGTTTTCGATTGAACAGGTTCAACATTTTTAAGTTCTTTCGGCATTTCTTTTTGTGGTTCTGGAATTTCCTCATGTTTTTTATGTTTCTTTTTCTTTGACTTTTTCTTTTCAGTCACGTCATGCTTGGCAGTATCACTATCGTATACTTTTGATGGCATGTTTTCTTCAACTTCCTTAAGTTTGTATTGTTCTTCAGTTACTTTATTATCTGTTTTTACTACTTGAGTGTGACTTACTTCAGTTGTGATAAAGTCTACATTAATATCTAAAGTTTCTTTAACTGATACAGTTTCATCTTCTATTCGTTGTTCAACATCATTTATTGTCCTAGGTTGGTTTAAATTATCCATAAATAAGTTGGTAGAATCACCATCTTTCTTATTTACTTTTATTAATTCACTTTCATCATCAGATAACTCTATTGGTTGATCTAAAATATCCATGAACAAGTTTGTAGATTCATCAACTGGTAAACCTTTATATTCAACTTTTTCTGTAGTTGCTTTAACTTCCTTTTCGATATGCTGAATATCAACAGTTTCAGATTTATGTTGATCGAGTTCATGCTTGTCCTCATGTTTGTTATGTTTCTTTTCTTCCTCTTTCATTGGACTGGCAATTTGAATTTCAGTATACGTTGGTGTTTCAATAGGTTCAGTAATAACTTCTTTTATTTCTAAAACCTTTTCAGTTAACGATTCAGATGTTTTAGAATTTATAAGGTTTTGATTAATATTAGAAGTTGATAGTTCTTCTGTTTTCGATTGAACAGGTTCCACTTTTTTAATTTCTTTTGGCATTTCTTTTTGTGGTTCTGGACTTTCCTCATGTTTTTTATGTTTCTTTTTCTTTGACTTTTTCTTTTCATTCACGTCATGTTTGTCAGTGTCACTATCGTGTACTTTTGATGGCATGTTTTCTTCAACTTCCTTAACTTCTGGATGTTCCTTAAGTTTGAATTGTTCTTCAGTCACTTTATTATCTATGTTTACTACTTGATTATGAGTTATTTCAGTTTTGACAAAGTCTGTATTAATATCTGCAGTTTCTTTAACTGATACAGTTTCATCTTCTATTCGTTGTTCATCATCATTTAATACCATTGGTTGGTCTAAATTATCCATAAATAGGTTGGTAGAATCACCGACTATCTCATTTACTTTTACTGATTCACTATCATCATCAGATAACTCCATTGGTTGATCTAAGATATCCATAAATAAGTTTGTAGATTCATCAACTGGTAAACCTTTATATTCAACTTTTTCTGTAGTTGCTTTAACTTCCTTTTCGATATGCTGAATATCAACAGTTTCAGATTTATGTTGATCCAGTTCATGCTTGTCCTCATGTTTGTTATGATTCTTTTCTTCCTCTTTCGTTGGACTGGTAATTTCAATTTCAGTATACGATGGTGTTTCAATAGGTTCAGTAATAACTTCTTTTATTTCTAAAACCTTTTCAATAAACGATTGAGATTTTTCAGAATTTATAAGGTTTTGATTAATATTAGAAGGTGATAGTTCTTCTGTTTTTGATTGAACAGTTTCCACTTTTTTAATATCTTTTGGCATTTCTTTTTGTGGTTCTGGACTCTCCTCATGTTTTTTATGTTTCTTTTTCTTTGACTTTTTCTTTTCAGTCACGTCATGTTTGTCAATGTCACTATCGTGTACTTTTGATGGCATGTTTTCTTCAACTTCCTTAAGTTCTGGATGTTCCTTATATTTGAATTGTTCTTCAGTCACTTTATTATCTGTTTTTACTTCTTGATTATGAATTATTTCAGTTTTGACAAAGTCTTTATTAATATCTAAAGTTTCTTTAACCGATACAGTTTCATCTATTTGTTCATTGTCATTTAATATCCTAGATTGGTCTAAAATATCCATAAATAAGTTGGTAGAATCATCGACTTTCTTATTTACTTTTACAAATTCACTGTCATCATCAGAAAACTCCATTGGTTGATCTAAGATATCCATGAAAAAGTTAGTAGATTCGTCAACTGGTAAACCTTTATATTCAACTTTTTCTGTAGTTGCTTTAACTTCATCTTCGATAATATGCTGAACACTGTCAACTGTTTCGGATTTGTGTTGATCCAGTTCATGCTTGCCTTCATGTTTCTTATGTTTCTTTTCTTTCTTCTTTGTTGGTGTTTCAATCGGTTCAGTAATAACTTCTTTTATTACTGGAACTTTTTCAATTAACGATTCAGATTTTTCAGAACTTATAAAATTTTGATTAATGTTAGAAGTTGATGTTTCTTCTGTTTTTGAATGAACAAATTCTACTTTTTTAAGTTCTTTAGGAATTTCTTGTGGTTCAGGATTTTTCTCGTGTTTTTTGTGTTTCTTTTTCTTTGATTTTTTCTTTTCAGTCACGTCATGTTTGTCAGTATCACTATCGTGTTCTTTTAATGGCATTTTTTCTTCAACTTCCTTAAGTTCTAGATGTTCCTTAAGTTTAAATTGATCTTCAGTCACTTTATCTGTTTTTACTTCTTCAGTATGCGTTTTTTTAGTTTTGACAGTGTCTATGTTAATATCTGAAGTTTCTTTAAATGATACAGTTTCATCTTCTATTTGTTCATCATCACTTAATACCATAGGTTGGTCTAAAATATCCATAAATAGGTTGGTTGAATCATCAACCGGTAAACCTTTATATTCGATTTTTTTCACCAAAATAGGTTCATTACTTTCTTCTGGTTTCTTATGTTCTAATTTATCTTTAAAATCACGTTTTTCTGTTATATTGTCACTATCATAAATTTTGGCTTCTGGTTTTATTAGTTGCTTAACTGTTTCTTCTGATTTTTTAATAATTTCTACCTGCTTTTCAATCTTTGTACCTTCAGTCATAGTTCTTTCAGCATTGATAAAATTTAAGTTAATGTCTGGAGGTTGTTTAGCTGATAAAATGTCTTCTTTTATTTCCAATTGCTCCGCGTCATCGGTTAATATCAATGGCTCGTCTAAAATATCCATGAATAAGTTCGTAGACTCATCAACTGGTAATCCTTTAAATTCAGTTTTTTGCTCTGGGATATTTTGTGATGGTTTTTTAATTTTGGAATGTGGTTCCTGACCAGGCTTCTCTTCTTTTGATTTTTTATGCTTTTCATGATCGTCATTCTTATCTATATGAACTTCAGATAAATCAATTTTCTTTTGGACTTCGGGTTGGTCAATAATTTTGTCTTCTAAGACACCGATTTCTTCCTGAGTAATTTTAATTTCTTCTTTGACCTCTTCGGCTTTAGCTTCTTTCATTACTGAATCAACTAAAGTTTTCGTTACTGTTATATCTTCTGGTTTATGTTTTTCTTGTTCAAGTTTATCCTTTTTGTGTTTATGTTTCTTGGACTTTTTCTTCGAACTACTCTCATGTATTTGTGTATCATTATTATCAGGTTTAACAGTTTCAATTTTAATTTGTTGAGCTAGTTTAGCATCTTTCATTTCCGTATTTATGAATTCTGTAGTAATATTTAAAGTTTGGTTTGTCTTTGTTTTATCTGAAATATCTACAGATTGTTTTTCATGAATTACAGTCGAACCTTCTTCTTCATCAGAGAATACCATAGGTTTCTCCAGTATTTCTAAGAACATATTAGTAGATTCATCGACAGGCAGTCCTTTGTACTCAACTTTTTTTATGGAAACAGTCTCTGGTGCTTCTTGTTTAAGGAAATCGGTCACTTCAGGCTTTGCAGTCAAAACATGTCCACTAGATACTGGTTCTTCTACTTTATTTTCTTCTAATTCCAACTCTTCTAAGTGTTTATGTTTCGTCTTCTTAGATTTCGTTTTTTCATTAGAATGGTGTTTATCTAGTCCTTCAGTAACTTCAGGTTTGGATTCCACATCTGGTATGTGTCTTATTTCTTCTATAATTTCAAATGCTGGTTTTGATGCTTCTTCAATTACATCGTGATGCTTCTTTTTATGTTTTTTCTTATGTTTTTTATCAATCGAAGATATCTCACTTGTTTCAGGAGTAAAACTTGATACCTCCTCAATTTTAACAGGTTGGGGTATTGGAACCTCATATTTAGGTTTGGCTTGTACTTGCTGTACTGGCTGAGGTTTTGCAGGGAGGTTTGATCCAACAATAGTAGCCCAAGAAGGCTTTTCTGTTACGCCAATACTATCTAGATCTAGTTCATCGGCATCAACGGTTGTGTAAGAAATTGCTGACATATCGGTGTCAGTAGTTATAGTTGTATACGAATCAATCGAAGTAGTTGTAATACTAGTTAAATTATTTGATGCAGAATCAATATGTTTTTCTGCAGTGATTTCACGTTCTATCTGCTTATGCTTCTTTTTCTTTTTGGATTTAGTTGCAGAACGATCATCTACATTTGAGACTGTATCGCATGAAATGCTCTCTTCCCTTATATTTTCTTGTGTATTTTCAGAAAATTTTACTTCAGAATCATATGATGAAGTAGTCTTTGTAATATCTACAGTCTGAGAACTCTCAATTTTTTCAGGTACTTTCTCTATTGGTTCTTTTTCAATGATAATAATTTGCTCAACTGTATCCTTCTTGTGTTTCTTTTTCTTAGATTTGTCTTTTGTTGAATTTTCAACATTATCCGGTTCTATTTTATGTTCTTGTTGATGAAAGATATATTTCTCTTCGGTTGTTACATCTGGTTTTTTTACATCTTCTGGAAGTTTTTCATGAGCTATTTCTTTTACTTCGACCACTTCTTTTTTGTGTTTCTGTTTTTTCTTAGATTTTTTATCGTGTTCTTTAACTTCAGCCGATTCAATTTCTATTTCTTTTGATTCTACAGAAACAGAAATTGGGGGTTCTTGTTTATCTCCATCCGCTTGTTCAGTTTCTTGGACTATGGTATCTTTTTCAATTATGGTTTCTTCAGTTTTAGGTACGGATATATCCGATTCTTCATGTTTTGGTTTTTTATGTTTAGATTTCTTTTTATGATGGTCGTGAGGCTCTGGTTGCGATTTAACTTTGTTCTCAGTTACAATATGTGGTAATGCATGTAATCTTTCTTCTGTCATAAAAGCTGCATTTATTTCTGTGCGACTCTTATCAACTTGATCACCAATTTCATGTTCTTTCTTATGTTTCTTCTTTTTAGATTTCTTTTTCTCTGAAGATTTGTCCTCAGTTATTTCTGATTCAACAGTATGATCTCCTTCTGTGTGGATTATTTCAAAAGTGTCGGATATATCATCTACAGTGTTCTGGTGAAGATCTTCTTTTAGAAGTTCCATTTCTTCTTCCTTTACTGCAGAAACAAAAAAGAATTCATCGGCAGTTTCTGTTTGATCGTCTATGTTACTAGGTTCTTCGATAATATTGATCACTTGTGGGTTTTCCTCAAAAGTAACAGATTTACGTTTTTTATCTTTTCTCTTTTTCTTTTTATCTTTCTTATTATCGATAAGGATTCCATTTTCGTTGATATCTTTAGATACATCTTCCTGGTACTTTTGAATGGTTTCTTTCTTTAATTTAAGAAGTACGTCAGCATTACTTTCTGTGGACTCTTCAACTAATTTACTCTCATTAGTGGTAATATCTGTACTTGTAGCTTCTAGATATGAAATGTCAGGTAAAGGTAATTCCGGTGATAATTGTACTGAAGGAAGGTTTGCAAAATAGTCTTTATCTATTTTGACATAAATACTTGATGATGTCAATTGTTTTCCTTCTTTAGTAGGAAGAGTGTCTTCAACAACTATTGGTTTTGTCTCCTCTTCTTGTTTTTCTTTTTCAATAAAAATGCAATTCTCATTATCTATTATCGCTTCTGAAATTTCGTTAGCTTGGATTACTTCAAATTTCTCTTCTGTAATTGTTTTTTGATGCACTTCTTCCCTTTTTTCTTCTGGAGTTTTGGTTTCATTTACTGGAATTAGTTTAACTTTTCTATCTGGAATATTTGAAACATCTGGTGAGTATTTAAGTAAAGTCTCTTGTTTCAGTTGTGATAGTATTTGGAACGTATCACAATTTTCAGTTTTTTCTATTGTATCTTCTTCTGTTACAATTTGAGACTGTTCTAATTCACCCCGTGATAATTCTGATTTTTCTAAATGCGATTCAGATTTGGTTTCTATTGGTAGCGGTTCTGATTTACTTGAATCTTCAGTGGTTTTAACTTTTTTACTTTTGTGTTTTTTCTTTTTAGATTTTTTAATCTCATGATCTTCTTCTAAATTCTTTTCTACCAATTCTTCATCTGAAATAAATACAGGTTCATTTTCTGTAAGAGGAATAATTAAAGATTTTTCAACAAACTCACTCTCAGATTCTTTAATTTTGCTAGTTTTTGGTTCGACATCAACATTAGGAATTTTATGTTTCTTCCTTGAATCCAAAACATCCATAATATTTTCAAAAGTATTAATTTCTGTTTCAACTATTGAATCTAACCTTGACAATGATGGTTCTACGGCGATGTCAGTGTCATTAATAACATTTTGCGCTGTGATGTCACTTATTGGTAATTCGTCATCAACAACAGGGTGATCTTTTTTATCCTCATTGGCTATTCTAGCTGCTTTCTGACTGGGTCTTTCTTTAACAGAACCGAAAATAACTTCTTCCATTTCAATTTCACAAGTATTTTCAGTATCTGTTGCATTAGCCTTTTCTTCAAAACTGTGTCCATTTGTTACTATATTTTCATCAATTACAGTTTCAAATTGTAAGTGTTTGTCTTCAGTTACTTTTTGTAACACTTGTATTTTGTATTCTTCACTGACGTTTCTCTCAATTTCTCTTAGGTTTTCTTCGATAGTTTTAATTTCCTCAACAGGTGTATCCTTAAACTCCATTTTTATAGTAACAATGGGTTTCATTCTTACCTCTTCATGTGTGATAAATGTAACTTTGGTTGTTTCTTTTGAACCATCGATTTCTGGTATTTCTTTAATATCTATTTTATTATATGCGTTTTTATCTTCTTTCGTCTTATTTGCAAGTTTGTCAGAATTTGTGACAATAGTACTTACTGTGGTCTGCTTGGATTCTGTTGAATTTTCTTTTTTAGAAGTGGTAGTAGTAAGTTTTGATATAGCACTAGTGATTACAGATTGTACAATATCTGATGATGCTTCTAAAACTTCTTTAGTTGAAGCAACTAAATCGTGTTTATGTTCTGTGGAAGATTCAAGTAAAGTTTTTGTTTCAGTACCCACATTAATGTTTGTAGGTAATAAGGAGGTAGTTTCACTGAATATTATTTCATTATTTAAGAATATTTCATTATCAATAAATCTATCGTTAGCTTTTGGTTTGTTTAAAGTATTAACCTCTGTTAAATGTTTTTGAGATTCTATAATGTTTGAAATAATTTCAATTGGCTTTTCTTCAATTGATTTTGTTTGTTTTAAAGATATCTCTTGTTCTATAACCAATGCTTTTTCCATATCCGATGGATGAATTTGTTCAGTGGGATCAGATTTCTCCTTTTTATTTCGAGATTGTTTGGAATGAGGTACTGTCTCTACAGATTTCGCAGGAGTGAGTAATTCTTTGGGTGTTCCTAAAATTTCAATATCTTTATCTAAAGATTCGTCCTCGGTTGTAATGTTTGAAGTTATTTGTTGTATCATCTCTTTTTCTTCCACTATAACGTTTGCTTTAAACTTGGAATTTTCTGTATTGTCTACTACGTCATCTGTAGTAACAACATATTGAACTTGTTCTAAGATTAGTGGAGTTGGACTTTCTTGCAAAACATTTTCTATTTCAACGATATCGCTTGTTATTTTATCAGTATTATTTAGAACCGTTTTTATTAAAGAATCTTCGTTTTTGATCGTATCAATTTCTTTGTCTATGATACTTGTTTCTTCAGTAACCATATTTTCCTGTTTATTCTTATCATTCTTCTTCTTTTTTGGTTGGTTAACAATTTCTGTTGATTGTACTGTATTTTCCGGAATCACGTTCTCTTTTTTAACTACATGATTAGTATTTTCCTCAGCAATTTCTATTTTAGAGTCTGCGTTTTTGACTGTAGAAATTTCTGTAGTATGAACTTCAATAACCTGAGCGTGTTCCTTATTTTCATGAACATGTTCTTCAGTAACTTTATTTTCTTGTATGTTTTTGTCATTTTTCTTTTTTCTTGGTTGTTTAACAACATTACCTGTAATGTCATTAACAGTTTCAGTATGTATCATTTCTGCAGCGGGTTCTTCTTTTTTGACAGTAGAAATTTGTATATCCGTGGATTGAACCTGTTCTGAAGAATCACCTTTTTCCAGAATAGGTACCTCAGTAACGTTATGGTCCTGTTTACCTCTATCATTCTTTTTCTTTCGTGGTTTTTTAACAATATCATTTGGAATATCTTCAATGATTTTAGTCTCTGCAATTTCTATTATGGGTTCTACTATTTTAACAATTTTCTCATCAGTAAGTTTTGGTTCATGTTTTTTCTTCTTATTTCGTTTGGATTTAGGGTGACTTTCGGATGTTTCTTCAAGTTTTTCATCTGCAATTTTCTTGCATATTTCAATTTCAGGTTTTATTATGGTGTCTTCAACATTTAACTGTTCGTCAATGGTATGTACTTCAGATTGAGTGGTTTTTAATACAGTACTTTCTACTTGTATCATTTCAGTGGTAATATCAGAAATATTTCTTTCATGTTCTGGTTTCTTTTTAGATTTCTTGTTCTTTTTCTTCTTTTTCTCCTGATCTTCTTGAATTTCTTTCGGTTGTTCGGAAATACAAGTTTCACTATTCTTAGCTTCAAAAGTAGGTTGTTTAAATGATTTATTCTCAGTTGATTTAATTTCTGTATCTGAATCTTGTGTTGTTTCTGATAAAACGGGTTTAATAACTACGTCTTCAGTGAACACCAATTGGCTGACAATATCATCTTTTGATTCTGGTTGTTTCTTCTTCTTCGATTTTTTGTTCTTTTTAGTAATTTCTTCAGCTGGTGGTTGAATTGTTCCTAACTCAGTATCTATCTGTTTGGTTGTAGGTTCAGTATCTATTGTTGGTTCTACAGTGCTAGTTTTATTATCCTCATTAGGATGTGGCTTTTTCTTTTGCTTTTTATCTTTCGATGTTTTATTTTCTTCTTCAGGTTTATCAATTTTTGGTACCGTAATGTTTTCTATATTTAGTTGGTCGGATGTTGTCGATGGACTTGTTTCAATAACTGTATTAGTATTAATGTCTATATTAGAATCAAAGGTTGTGGTAGTCAACTGTTCATTAATTATGAATTCGGTCGATTGTTTGATTTGGTCTTTTGTCTTGTTTTTGGACTTCTTTTCTCGTTTAGGAGGTCTAATATTAGGTTCTCTTTTATCGTCGACTTCTTCTTCATCTGAGATGTGCCTAATAAATTCTTCAATAACATAAGCTGCCCTGTGTTCTTCTGGTATGGATTGTTTGGGCTTATGTTTTTTCTTTGATTTGTTGTGTTTGTCATGACTAATGCTACTGTTATAATTCGGATCATCTTCGGTTGGTGGTAATTTTACAATAGTAGTTATTTTAGTTTCTTCAATGTGGATTTCTGGTTCTTTAACAGTTTTAGTTTTCGATTTGGTAACTGTTATTTGCTTAATATGTGACTTATTTGATTCGTCTTTAGGTTTATGTTTCTTATTTTTATTCACTTTATCAATGGGAGAAACATCACTATCACTAAATAAGTCTTGTGTGGAGGAAAGAACAGTCGTTTCCTTACCACCTACCGCTTTGGTAGGCTCTCCATGGTACGAATACGACTGATCGCGTTCGAAGTCATAAAAATGTTCATCTAAATTAATATTTTCTTGATGTTGCTTTCCAGCAACATTGAGGAATTTCTCATCTTGAGATATCTCCATCATGGAATTGCGTGTAGGGTGCTCCCTCGATTTAGACTTCGTTTCTTCCTTGTGCGTGGAATCACCAGGCACGGGAGACTTTAGTCTGGGGGCTTGTCGAGCGTTCGAGAGTTGCACTGTTGCTAAACTGGATGGCTGGAGAGATTTGGCACTTAGTCCCTGAGTCAAAATTTGGGCGTAGGAGAAATGAGAACCAGTAACTTCGGGTATCGTCGTTTGCGCTAGTGGTTCTACATTCATTTCTTCTTCTGTATTATTATCCTTAATTTCTAGAGCTTCTACTTTAGTCAGTTCAGCTGGAGGAAGGTCTTCTGTTTCTTGTATAAGACTAGAGGTATTTTCCGTATACCCTGTATTCGTGTAAACGCTTTCGTTGTAAGGAACAAAATTATGAGAACTGTGATAAGTGCCAAGACCTGAATTTAATAATTGCTGCCCAGTTGCTATAAAATTAACCATATCCGGTATCGGTTGGATATAATCAGATGTTGTCATATGCTGCATTTGACTATAATAATTAGGATGCACCTCATTAAGATGGGTTTGCATAGTGTAGTCATGTTGGTGGTACTCGTTCCACTCCTGCATTGGACTAGACAATACAAACTCATGTTGTTGAGGGTAACTACTAATTTGTTGAACAGGAATATTCTCATATTCAGTCCTTGGTTCTGTGGTCACTATTGCTCTTTGAATAGGAACTAGTTTTTCTATTTGTACAGTTTGGGAGGCAGCAGCTTCATTAGAACGTATTGGTAGTTTAGTAATCACCTCTTTATTGAAGAGTATTTCTCTTTCTTCAGATTCTCTTTGTTGTCCTTTAAGGATGTCAGCGTAAGTATTTTGACCTGGTGCCCACATGGGACTAGGTGAACGACTGCGCGTTCTTTGTTTTATGTTTAAGTAAGATAAATCTGTTTCCGATTGTTCTGAAGGGGTTCTCGTTCTTTGAGTGACTTTTGGTGATTCTACGATGATTGGTGGCGGTTCTATATCTAAAGTTTTTGAAGCGGGTATTGTTGGTTTAGTTTCCTTAGGATGTTTTTCTTGGATTGATTGATGTTTCGGTCTTGGTGACCGGCTGCGCCTTGGTGATTTAGTTCTTGGCGGTGCTTTTGATTCTAATTTTGTTTCTGTTTGTTGTGGTTCACGAATAAGGGGTATATTTTCCAGCTGAACGACCTTTTGAGGAGCGGATTTTGGCTCAGGGAGAAGAACTGGTACAATTCTCTCCATATCATTGTTCGTATCGTGTATTTCGGAGGCGGATGAAGCGGGTTGGCGTTCTTGCGATCTCGAGCGTCCAGCGGCGATATCCGCATAGGATACTCCGAGAAGGGAATATTCCGGGTGAGGGCAAGCGTTGTAAGGGTCCACTTGTTGGATACGGGCGACAAGTAGAGAGATCTTCTGCTGGTTAGCTTCAATCCGCGCCTATTTGTGTAGCAACAATGCAATAAATCAGTAACGTACGCGCAAAACATAAAACATATTATTTACACGCTTAAAGATGGTGGCTGAAACGCGCATCAAGTCAAAGGTCTAGGTCTTGGACTTTGGTAGTTATTTTAGGTAATGTAAGGGAATGTGCTAGGTGTCAAGCGGATCTTGATCTGGTGTACCTCTCTGAGCTATAAGCTTCATTCGCTCGTTTCGAGTGCTCAGCTTGCGCTGCAGAGTACGGACACGCTCTTTTTGCACCTGCACGAGGATTTTAAGGTTAAAGGGAATGCAGCGAAACGAATAAAAGAAAACAAATACTTGTTGAGAATAAATCAAAACAAATGAACAAACAGAAACGTACTAGTTGGTTTAGAAGATTGGCAAGAGTATTTTTTTGCAGTAAAAAATAAGAAGAATACAATTAGAATAATCTACAGAGTATCTACTAGCGTATATTTTCTTATTTCTAATTTTTATAGCTAATTTTTATTATTCAGTAGCTAAATACAGTTAACGTTTGTCCTAAATATCATTTAACAATGTCAGACCTATATCATATACAGGGTGTTCATTTGAAAACTTCCCACACTTAATATCTTCCTTCCAGTAAATATAAAAATGGGAAAGGTACGTCAATTTTATTTTTGCGCTCTGTAGCGGGATAAAAATTTGTTACGTATTGCAAAGAGTGACATTTCATTTGAGAACTAATTGTGTCGCACTTAATAATACGTTACAGTCCTTTAGACCGCTGGAGGGTAATAAAATCAAAAATAATACAATGAATAGTAATATTTCTAAATTTTCCATGAATTAACCTTTAAAACGATGAGCCAATTGATCCCCTTCCCAGGATTTTAAGAGGCTGAAGCACGAGGACTAAAAATATTCATTGAGAATGTCCTACTTAAAAATAAAAAGATTTTCGATTTGTCATATTTATTGGAAGGAAGATCAAGAGTGGGAAGTTTAAAAATTAACACCCTGTATAATACCACAGAAAAATATTATTTTCCTACAATTTTACCAAACAATTGCACACACAGCCAGGAACATCTGATAATTGAGGTTCAATTTAGGTATTGATTGTTTTTTGTTTGGTAAAAGCCATGGACGAAAGTTGAGTTTCTCGCGACTCGTGTTAAAAATGCCTCTTTCCACATTAGTAATATATATTATTATTATCAACAATATCACTTAGGTAGAATATACACTAGTATGTAATATACATATAATAAAAATCATGAAACTTTTAAATACTATCTTGGATATTCGGTGTATTTTAATTATCTTCTAATTGAAAATCTTTATTGGATGGTACAAAACTTTGCAGATAGTTCAAAATGTTCTACCAGACAGGTCAAAATCAACAGATCATTAGATATTGATAGCTACTCCTCTACCGAGCAGGATTCTCAAAGCAGCAAAAGAAATCACCACGAACATTATCATTGGCAGCAACATTCTCATCTATACAGACCACCTGAACAGACCACAAATTTGCCCAGGGTTATTACTAGAATGTCACAAAGTATCCATCAACAATGTGGTCACCTACAGATGGCTTAATGGTCACGCCACATCGAAAGGTAACTGTCTTGTTGATTCACTAGCCAAGAAGGCAGTCAGCAAATACTTTTTGGACCTGGTCCTTTTATTGGACTGACAAAATCGGTAGTGACAGACGTAATTAAAGAACATTGCCTTGGAAAGATGGAATGAAACAAGAAATTGCAAAGTTACCAGGGAGCTTTTAAGCTATCCTGACAATACTACAGCAAAAAAATACTTGATTATGACTAGACAGAATCTGCGCCTAATCACAGGCATTCTAAATAGTCACTGCTAAGTACGGAAGCATCTTCTGTCATGGGATGTCAGAATTTGCACTGTGTAGGGGGTGCGAACAAGTAGATGAGATCATCGGGCATATCCTTTATGATTGCCGGACGTTCTCATTTATTAGAAGATTTGTGTTCGACGAGTATCGGCTAACACTGGCAGATATAAGAGAAACACCTCTTGGCGACGTTGTCAACTACATTAAATCTGTAGGTTGGCTCACGAGTTGGGAGGTGCATATCATCTTAGGAGGATGTACAATGGACCTGGTGAGGCCTAATTGCCATGGAGGATCCTCCACCCTTCACACGTTACAGATACAGAGATAGCTAATCCTGTATCAAGACAGAAGTACATCAATCAATCAATCAATCAATCAATCAATCAATCAATCAATCAATCAATTTTGACGACATTATTCCTATTACCAATCAAGTAGTTTCATAGGTTTACAGGTGATATCAGTCTAAATGCGTTCTCTTCCAGAGAGATCAACACCAGAAGGAACGTTTTTCTTAATGATGTCATTGGAATCGTCATTAATTGGGAATTAAAGTAGGTACATTAATCAGTACCCATAGCAGATAGTCATATTGCTTCACTATCGGTAATTTTCATAGTTCATCAGCGTTACCTTCAGCCACAATGGGGCCACAATTTTGATGGGTAAATGGTACAGAATAAATCAGATTCGACTAGTGTTTAACCATCTAATATGCGTTGTAAATGAGTAGTAAGGTTAAGTAGGGCTTCCAAACGGTGGTACAATAAAACATAGAAGATATAGTGCAGCAACATTTAAACCCTTGTGGTTTTAGAGACTGACTAGCGTGATAGCACGTGGAGACCAAAAATCAAATACTATATGCTAATCAACAATTAGATTGTATCCATTTTTCAAATATATGATCTGACACACATATATTGTGCTTCTGCTGGTAAAAAGATATGATTCATCTTCATGTCAAGGTAGAACTATCAATTTGATTATCTACTCGCTCCTTTTGTCCATCGATGTGCAGTTAGGGCTTTTCCCTTATTCCATAAAGAGACTGATCAGTTATATAACTCGATCCTACTTCTAGAACATCTAGAACCGACCAGTATATCTTTTTATCTGTCATCCCTGAAGCGTTTTCAGAAAAGTTACACAAAAAGTGATATTAGACCTTTAATGTTGGTAGTTCAACTCTAGAGTTTGAGTAAAAAAATACTTCTTTGTTCTATTTGTAACAATAGTTTTTGTATACCATACAATGTTTATTAAAATTAATTTGATAATTACTTTATAGAGAAGCAATCCACGACAAAAATGTTATAATTTTTTACGAGTATGTGCATTTAACTAGGGAACCAACAATATACACCAAATATGCCATAAAAGAGTATTATAAATTAGGACATTTGAATATATTATTTAATTAGCATAATTTGGTAACATTAGATCATAATTTACCTATTTAGTCTGAATATACGTTTCGACATTATTAACAATGATATTTGTTAGTTATAAAACTACCGTCTAAAAAAATAGCTTAAATACTATTACCAACTATCTAAACCACCAGAACTAATGATTGTGTTCGCTTTCTGGCTCACCCAAAAACGTAAAAAAATCGTAAAGCATGATTCTGGTGTGTAGTGATGCTCGAATAGGTACCTAAATGTGTGATAATGAGATAGATAGTGAACACAAAACCAAAGTGGTAAATTTTTAATAAAAAAACAAAAATGTGGTGAAACTCAAAAGCAAAATGGCGACTACAAGCAATGTGGTGAGAATGGTCAAAGCAATAAAGCAGCAAATGAAGCAAATAGTAAACCAATAAGATTTTCGAAAAATTCATCGATTAACGATTCAATAGAAACCAATTCGTTCATTATTTGGTATCTAGAGGATGGTTCAAACTAAGTAGTTGTTTGAATACTTAAATACCAGTGATAAAACGTAGGTACTTATTTGTATACAGATCGTTAAAATGTTATTATTGTTTTGTTTTTATTATTGTTCTATTTTGTAATTCAAAAAGAAAACTTTTCTGGATTTTACTAAAAAGTAAAACTTAAATATTGCAACGTTTTGAGTTTTTTTTTAAATGAAATACCTAAATTGCTACAATTTTATTAGCAATATTGATGTATACTTTTGAGAGTATCCTTTGTACCTTGATAACAAAATAATAACAATTTATAAGCAATTGTTTAATTTCATCAAAATAAATAGTTTCACGTATAATATCTAACATTTAATATTTAAACAAAAAAAACATGAAAGTAATTTTTTGTTAAACAGGGATTTTTTGAATTTATTTTTAAATTGAATTTATTGTTTATAACTAAGTTAATTTTAATCACATGTTTTTTAATGAATAACTTTTAAATGTGTATTAGAACATAATTTTTATAGTTGTCTTAACATATGAAATGATTAAAATGAAAACTGTTCTGAAAACTATCATTTATAAATTTCATATTCCAAAATATGAAATGAACTAATTCAGTTTAATGAAACATATACAAGGGTGTCCATTAGTGCGTAATTGCTAGATAAATCAAGTTATATGGATTTTAAGAAGGCATATTTTAAAAATATTTTTGTATATATACAGAATATTATGCTTTTGCCTCACAAATAAAAATGTATAATTTTTGAATATTACAGGCTTGAGAAGCAATTAATTATTTTGTGAAATTTCAGAATGATGCAGCCCCCAAATTAAATTAGCATAATTTAGGTAGGTTAGCAATGATTTTAAAATTGTTTAAAATAAAAACTTATAAGATACCAAGCTAATGAATAGTGGTTTATTTTATACACAATGTGTACAGCTAATAATCGTAAATTCAATTCACTCCATTTTTTCAAATAGAACATCCTGTATATTATTTTACCATGAAATTTCTTGCAACAGGTTAGCCAATTATAGACATACAGGTGTTTTTTTATTAGAGATACAAGAAATTTTTAATACAAAAGTTGTAGGACGATATTTTACACTGATTCATAAATATACAGGGTAGTCCAAAAATGAGGGGTGAACCAAACTTATACTTTTTTTACAATAAACAACAGATTTGGTTGTCTTCACATCGTTAAACAATTTGAATAGACTTAACATTTCTAAAATGTTTTCTATTTTCATTAATGT